TTTTTTGTTACATACTTATCGTGATGATGGACCTAAAGAAAGAAATCTACGGCGTGTTTTATAATTTTTCAATGGCTATTTTACGATGCTAAAAATGAGAAAATTTTAGACTATTTGAAATGGGAGAGAATCTCGATGAAAGAAATGTTTTTTTATATAAAATATATGTACCGGACTTGTATACTAGGTAGAATGTAAGATTCCATTGGATTGATTGAATCCTAGCACTTAAGTATCATCTCTTACTTTATTATTATTTGTGACACTTATGTGATAGTCGATGGTCAATAGTAAAAAAAAATCTCCTAAAATAAGGCCAGTTCTAGCCATTGGCACCACCAAACTACCAATGAAATTTCATTTGGCGCTCAAGATATACGCTTTGAGCGGTAACATTTTCACTGTTCCGTTAATAAACAGACAGACATCTTGACCGTTAAATCAACGTGGTGAAGCTTAAAGAGATTCTGATTCTTCTTTAATTTGAGCCATTAAAACCCGACGACAAATAAGAACCCGTTACTTCAATCAATGAATGTTATGGGCTTTCTAATGGGCCCGTTGGTGATTGCTCATTCATTTATTGAATAAACCTCTAAAGTCTAACTTTACTCTAAAATGATAAATGCTCAAGATAAAAGATCATCAACCGAATGTATCATGGATTAATGACATAATCAGAGTGGTAAATTGGTTCTGATACGATATCTTTAAATCCAAAGGGAAAGAAAGCAAATGGAGAACTACAACACAGAACGTTGGGTACCGTAACCAAGCGGGGCGGGTATAACCGGAACCAGTTTCAAGCTTAGGAAGTTTCTGCAGCTGGTTGCGTCACACCATGCTTAACCAAGAGCTTAGTGAGCGAGTCAGGCGAGTGAACATGGTACTTAACACTTCCTGATGGAGTCAGATACACCTCAGCAAGCTCGAGCTTTTCGGCTGTCAAGCTCGTGCTGTCCATTGTCTTGCTCAAAACCTTGATAGCGAGCTGAACCACCTCTTCTCTCGTTGCATCATCCTTATAGTCTTGTTTAAGAATAGACTGAGCCGCTTGATTATTTGCTCCAACAGCTGCAGCTTTCCATCCACCGTAGTTTCCGCTTGGGTCACTCATATACAGCTGAAACCCGTGGTTCTTATCCCAGCCTGCAAAAAGAAAGGAAACTCCAAACGGGCGGAGACCCCCAAATTGTGTGTATCCTTGCTTGGTGTCACATAGAGACTGAACCAGCTGCTCAACCGGCATTGGCTCTTGGTACATAAAAGTGTAACGCTGAGCTTGAACTCGAGCAGTGTTAATCAGAATGTTGGCATCAGACATTATACCAGCCACAGCACAAGCCACATGGTCATCGATCTTGTACATTTTCTCCGTGGACATAGAGGTTTGAAGAAGCTTAGAAGTGACTTTCTTCTCACCAACCAACACAACACCGTCTTTTGCCAAAATTCCAATCGCAGAACCAGCATTGCCAATAGCTTCCATAGCATATTCAACTTGGTAGAGACGACCTTCCGGTGAGAAGATCGTGGTGCGACTATCATACCTCCGAGACATTCTGAAACAGCTACACACCAAGAAAGAAAGAAAGAAAGAAAACACCCAAATTATATCAGCCAAAGTTCCCATCTTTAAGCTAATGGGTAGCTCCCAAAGAAAACTGAAGACCATTAAAACAGATTTAAGAGAAAACCTCCCTCCCTCTTCTTACAAGTGTCACCAGATTAAGCCTAAACCAGTGAATCTATGAACACTGATTAAAATGAGAATCCATTACACTTGAGTGATTCCAAGTTACAACAAAACAGAATTACGTTGTACCAAAGAATCACATCAAGCTAGGGTTTATCTACGCGACAAAATCAAAGAATTACCCAGAATTTAGAGGAGTAACTCCTGACTAAAGACAAACAGATCCCACAAGTACGAAAACCATATTTCGAGAACAAAAACCAGTAGGAAGAAAACGGAATCGATTGAGGAAAAATTACCTGAAGAAATTTCTTCTCTGAGTTGTCTTCTGGGTTTTCGATTCCTTGATTTCGCTGAGAAACTTGGTGCTTGATAAAAAACGAAACTTGTGAACTTCTTTGACAAGAAAAGTTAGGAAAAGAGAAAGAAAAAAAAAAAAAAAACTCATTTTGCTGGTTTTCTTTATTGGGCCTCACAGTTCACAATTATGGGCCAAATACATTAGAAATCAACCCTAATAAGTTAAGCCCAAATGCTCGTTTTATAGGGTACACGGTTCGGAATGCTTACAAATTACCACAACTAGAAGATCGTTTAAAATAAGCACATTACCCATTAGGCTAAACCTTTTTTTTTTTTGTCATAATTATATGCTGAGAACATGACCCATCCATTGAACTTTTTTGTGATTTGGTTATGCTTTTTAGAATTTGTGAAACTACAGTGTATATGTTTTTGGTTTTAGATGGATATGATATGAACTACATTAATTTCATAGCCGTTGAGTTTATTTTATAAACTAATTTTTTTTTTTAGCCAGAAATATAATTCTTATGTAACTTTTTGTTTAATTTTTTGATAAATAATTTTTTTTTTGTTTATATGGTCATTTGAACTTAGCAAAATAAGTGTGTTTTATGTTTTTTTTTGTCAACCATAGATACATTAACTAAAGTATCACTATATGATTGGTAGTCCAATCTCGAGAGAAAGAGTCATGTATCTTTAATGTTTTTATAATGTTATTTACTACTCTATGGACTATGTTAAGATATAAAGTAATTGTATCCAAACTATCTATGTCATTAAGCATCAACATCATGATAAAATTGAAAAACCTATTGCACCAAAAAATGATGTTCCATTTTTTTTTATTTTTTTAAACTCAATATCGAAAACTCGTGAAATCACATGCTAAACATGCAATCATGGGTACAAACCGAATGGACCTACCGAGTGGAAATTTCTGCATTCTCAGTTCTCATTCAACTTCGTCCACTCTCAAGGTTTATTGTCCAAAATAACAAAATGGGAGATGTGGATTAGAGGTACGCCAAACATAACCTTGAAAAGACTCAGATACATCAACGACCATGTAGATTGTCGACAAAGAAACCTTGACGTACCCATAACTTGCAACGCCAAATCCGTTCGAAAGCTTGCAAAGAGCAACTGGTTAGCCATGAATGTACATCTCAGAAGCTATGTTGCTTGCGTGTTAGCTCATTAAACTGGAGTGAAATCTTGTAGGACTTATATAGATTCTATCTCCAATTTGAATAATTCAGGATGAACAATGATATCTGCAGCAATATGATCATTGTGTAGTAAGCTTGAAGCTTTCTCCAAGTGACCCAGTCACCGAGAATGATCTACTTCTATAGGTATAATTAACATTAGTTGAAAACAAGGGAACTAGGTAACAGCTTAACCCGAATAAGTTAAGCCCATAGGCTTATAATTAACGCAACGAGAAGATCATTTAAAATATGTACATTATGACCCATTAGGCTAATCCATAAGTGTATATTTTTATATTATAAGCATTATTATAATTATATGCTCAATACATGCATGATCCAACCATCGAACTTTTTGTGACTTGGTTGTGCTTTTTATAATTTGTCAAACAATTTGTTTTGGGTTCAAACAATTTGTTTTGGGTTTAGATCGATATGAAATAAATTTATTTTATAGCTGCTTAGTTTATTTTATAAAAACTTTTTATTAATTTTTTTTAGCCAGAAATAATTCTGATGAGATTGTTCGTTTAATTGTTTATATGGTAAATAATATTTTTTTTTTGTTTATATGGTCATTAAACTTAGTAAAATAAGTGTACCTTATGTTTTTATGATGCTATTCACTCTATGTTAAGCTATGAAGTAGTTGCATCCAAAATATAGATGTCGATAAGCATCAAGAGCATGATAAAATTGATCTATTTACTCTATGTTAAGCTATGAATTGAAGTAGTTGCATCCAAAATATCTATGTCGATAAGCATCAAGATCATGATAAAATTGAGAAAACTATCGCACCAAAAAAATGATGTTCCAGTTTTGTGATTTTCCTTTTATATTAACTCAATTTCGAAAACTCGTGAAATGAGATGCTAAACATGCGATCATGGGTATACATGGCTAAATATAGAGTTATTAATTTAGAACCCGAAAAATTTGGGAAACTAAAAATGATAATTAAACTTAACCAGACGGATTAAATAGTGTGGATTAACTCCTTTCACACTTCTATTAAAAATGAGACATAGTATCACATATGACATTATGGACTCCTCGAAGGTTGTCTTTGTCTAAAGACTGAAAAACACTGATATCTATCAGTTGAAGTTTTTATTGATTGATGTTTTAAATGTTTATTGCAGATTGTCATTTCATACTATATTTTGATGTTCACTTTTTTACGGTATGATAGAAAATGAATAGAATGTTTGTTTATTTATTTTGTTCTTTGACAAAACGCATATATACTATTAGTTTTTTCGTTTACAGATTTTTACAATCTTTGTTATTAATGGATAAAAAAATATGTACTACGTGTAATCGGTGATGGTGATCATTGATATCACTACATTCTATGTGACAAAAATTAACTCTTTGTTATCGTACGCTTAGACTCTTAAAACCAGGGAGGAGCATAATCTTTTGTTCTTTTCTTTTCTTTGCAAAATGTTTTAATTTGTTGTTTTCTAGATCTATTTATTTTCTATATTATAACATTGTTTAAACTAACTTATCTATGGTGCTCAAAGGGAAAAAAAAAAAAAACTAACGTATTTATTTAATACATATACTGAAACACACAAAAAAAACAAATATATCTATTCGACTGTCTTAGTATGGGTCAAGGATGACACACCACATGTACACGTTGAGTAATGACCACTGCGTAGTGTTTGTCCTTTAATTTAAAAATCAAATTTCAAATAACAATATTTCAACGTACATAATCACCTTATAACAGTTCCATAAAATTTTGCTTCATATTTTAAGAATAAAATAACGAAATTTAGATCCTTTTAGTTACTGTTTCCGCTATCACAAAACATAAAGAAGAATATATATCTTAACGTTTCAAACCCTTTTTTATTGTATCAAATGGAATAGAAAAGAGATCAACCCAAGAGAGGAGTCTTTTTTAGCGGAGCAGGACACTTGAAGCCACGAGGTGGAGTCTTACCACAGTCGAGAAGAAGCTCAAGAGCAATGGGAAGAATGAGGTCAATGTTGAGAAGCTTCAATCTAATGGTGGTGCAGAGACAAACCGCAGCGTCAACACCCACTAAACCCTCAAGAAGTGGGCAACACTTTGCCTTAGCGTAGCTTTTCCCTAGTCCGATGTGAATCAAACCGCCTAGAACGTCCACACACGCGCCTAGTTTCAGAGCGTCGATGGGACAAGTCTCTGGTTTAGGCGGAGGAGGATATGGGGTTGGTGGAGGTGGCGGGCATGGTGCCTCTGGGGTTGGTGTTGGCGGTGGTGGGGTAACGACTGGTGGTGGTGGTGGTGGCTTCACGGTGGGTGGTGGTGGTGGCTTCACCGTTGGTGGTGGTGGAGTATACGGCGTGGGTGGTGGTGGTGGCTTCACGGTGGGTGGTGGTGGTGGCTTCACGGTTGGTGGTGGTGGTGGCTTCACCGTGGGTGGTGGTGGAGTATACGGCGTGGGTGGTGGTGGTGGCTTCACCGTGGGAGGTGGTGGTGGCTTCACGGTTGGTGGTGGTGGGGGCTTCACCGTGGGAGGTTTTGGAGAATACGGGGGAGGAGGGCATGGAATGTATGGAGGTGGAGGCTTCACGGTGGGAGGTTTTGGGGTGTGAGTAGGTGGTTTAACGGTTGGGGGCTTAGGTGGTTTAGCGGGATGTTTTGGCGGTTTAGCGGGGTGTGGAGATGGTTTAGGAGGGTCACTACAATCACAAGCATAAGAGACGGCGATGAGACCTAGGAGGAGTAGTATCACAAAGGAGAGGTTTTGCTTGTGAAGAAGCCCCATGTTGAGAAAGAGGGTTTAGGGTTTGGTTTGTGACAAGGAAGTGATGAAGTACGTTAAACTGTTGAGTGTCTTCCTCTTTTTATAGACCAAAGTAATCTCTAAGATATTTAGTTTTATATTTATAATAATCTTCTCATTTGCATCATCCGTGATGATATTATGAACGTGCCAAATTGCGAGTAAGATTATTGACGTTGGACTATAATATTAAGTACATTAATTTACAGGTCACTTTGTCATAAGAAGTAAAAAGGTTTTCTTTTATCAAGAGAAAACAAAAAGTAAAAGGTTTTCGTCAAACTTTCCGGAATTTTTTTGTGTGGTAAATTTCAATTGTTCAAGGTAAAGATAATAATGGTATATACTTAGGCTAACATGTTGTAAAGTTACCTCACAAAAAAAAAAGGATTGCGAGACTGCGACTATGCAAATTGTTTTTTCTTTTTTAATGTATGGCTAGTGGCAAGACAATTAATGAAGGAATTTGTCAATATTATTTGACTGAAGAGATACCTCTCAATTTTATGAAAACAACAATGCAAGTGGCGAGACAACTAACTAAGGAATTTGTCATTATCATTTGACTGAATTAGACACCTCATTTTTCAGAAAACCACAAAGACATGTAGAGATCTTTCCTCTTTTCATGCTCCTTTGATTATTGGGTCCACTTGTTCATGAGGATTTTAGGCAAATTTTTTGGAATATATAGTTCTTTCGTCTCGACCTATTGATATTGTAGCCTAGATATTGTCCAGAACAAACACACAAATAGAGAAAATAGAATCAATGCTATGGAGTAGCTAGGTCCAAAGCTATAGTATGCTTAATGTATAAACATGTAAAAATAATGATACTGGTCAGTGTTTCCCTTAATTAATTACTAGATTAATTATTTAATTAGATTACGATGTATCCTAGCAGCAACGAAGTAGTTAAAAGTACATGTAAAAAAAACCTTCACAAAACTTAATTCATATATTCATTCAGGTCAATGATTTTTTTAACAAGTACTGAAGTAAACGCTGACCACTATCATTATTAATACGTTTTGTGAAGTTTTGACATATATGATATATCCTACAGTAGCTTTTACTAACCACCAGGATAAAACATGTTTTACAAGCCACTAATTTCAAAAATCGAAAATAAATCATTATAATTGTCGATTGGTTAAAACCTATGAAACATACATGTGATATACTTATATCTCTAAGGATACATATTTCATTTATATAAGAAAACGTACGATAGATGATTCAACTATTCAAAACCTTTTTAGTTGTTTCTTGGGTCAAAAAAATACTAATTGGCGGAAGAAGATAGTAGTTTTCTGAAAATCACAAGAATAATGTTGCGAATGATATTAGAGCATCCACATCGGTAGTGTCTCAGCAAATTTTTTATGATATAAATAATTGAAAATAATGAAAAAGTAGGAAAGAAAAGGAGATAAGTTTCTATGAGACACCTATTTCAGATGTAACTTTATTTTGATTGGCCAATATTATTAATTATCATTTAAAATATAAATAAATAATCAAAATAATTAAAATATTATTAATGAGAAAGTAGAAAGGTATCTGAGCGTTGGAAATGCTCTGATACGTTCCTCGCGTTTTTGTAAAGAAGTGAATTCGAACAGCTTTTTGATATTTATTGTATCTTATATAGAACCTATATTGATTTAGATAAATTGAACGTTTTTGTTTTGGTCAAACAGTTTTGGTTTACGTTTTTAGTCTTTTTTCTTCCTCACACCTTTTAATAGATCTCAGCTTTCCACGAGAACTGATTGAGCAAGTCCGTGATTGATGATTATCTATGATTTTTTTATATTATTTGTCTCTATGGCATATATTTGATCTTTTATGACATAGTCTGAGTCGTCGTTAACAGAAACTCAAAAAAGTATTCACTACAAAAAAAAGATCATATTAAATCACTTAAATTGTATCACTTCACTAAATGATATTATTTTGAATCATTTATTTATAAATGATGTGTTTTAGCATCAATTATACTAAGTGATGTTATAATTAATTAGTTTGGCATCAAATATATAAAACTGATTTAAAAGCTATTATTTCGTATCACTTTTTAAAAACTGATAGTAAATATTAATTTACATCATTTAGATAATTGATGTATTTATTAATTTTTGTTAAGATCACTTTTTAAATGATACAAAATTTATATCAATGAAAACTGATGTAAAATTGTATTAAGGAGGCATTTTTAAATTGTCCCACATCGACAACTTCTTAAGGAGGGATAAGAATCTATCCTTTATAAATAGGTTAACCCATTTTCTAATAATTGAGTGTAGTGGTCTCACGAAAACTTAAGTCAAATAATTTATTTGAAAGATATTGTTGACGTTTAAATTTATTCTTAGAATAAGATTATAATTAAAATAATTTTCTTATTAAATAATAAAATAATTATTATAAATGTTACAATTATTAAAATCACTAATGAAATTTGACACTAGTTTTAGTATCAATTATTTATAAATGATGAAAATATTAACATCATTTATACAAAGTGATTTAAAAAGGTAACATCATTTTTTGTAATTGATACAAAATTAACATCAATTATAAAAACTGATGCAAATATTATGTATAATTACATCAGTTGTCAACAAAATGATGTAAATTATTTGCATCATTAATTTTTAAATCATTTACTTAAGTGATGTAAAATTCTTTTACATCAATTATAAGTAATACAAATATTCAAAATAAGTGATATAAAATGATCTTTTTTTTGTAGTGATTTGACTACTAAAAAAGGAAAAAGAAACTCAAATAGATATATAAGAATAAATATAGTTAATAAGTATATATAAGATAAGGATAAATTAGTTCATTCAAACCTATTGAGAAAAATGTAGCATTAAAAAATACTAATAATGGGCAATACTAGATATACTAATTACTCCTTTCGTTTTTTTTTTATTTGATGTTTAATGTTTTTGTACACTAATTAAAAAAATCTTTCTTTATTTTTTATTTTTAAACTAAATAAAATATTATTTATTATCTAATCAACCAATAAAAAAATAATTTACTGAATGTAAATTGTTAAAACTAATTAATACAAATTTAATGAATATTATATTAAAAATTGAAAATATTATTTAATTTAGAATAAATTATTTTTTCTAAATATCAACTAAAACCGGAAGAAATAGTATTTAAAGAAATTAACATATGGAGGTGTGTACGAGATTGCGGGTGAGATTTGTCGTGTAGTCAAAATAGGGTAACCCGTGAATCTGCTCCTCTAAATTAAGAATTTGTTTGTTATTGTTATTTTTTTTAAAGAAGAGAATGAGAAAAATGTCACTTAACTCGTAAGAATGAATCGTACATGCGTTGTTAAGAGTATATATATATAAAAAATGAAGCAGTATTCACATGCATGGTCCAGAGTATAGCATGGATCTCTGCATGTGATCACACCATTATTTTTTTGTGCTGAAACATCGGGCCAGAGTATAAGTTTTCTTATCATAACAGAAATCCCCAAATTGTCGGGATTATCTTCATTTCTATATCAATGTCAACTCTCCAATACTCTGCAAGATAGAACATGCATATCGTGAGTACTGTCCTTTTTGTTTGAAGTAGAATTTAAACTATATCTGTTATCAGATTTTGTTGAACGTATACTTGCCAATAAAAAATGAGTACAGATATGAACAATCACCACCTTACTAAAAAAAAGTAACAGTTTATAGTTTGAACATGCTATATTTTTGTGTGATCGGGAAGAAGATTGGATTGTTATCAATGTGCATTGCGAGCCCAGACGTATGTGGTCTAGTGGTAAGGGAGAACTGGGGATAGGTTGGAAGGAACTAACCCAAGTTCGATCCACCCTGGAAACAAAAATCACATAAGTGTGGGAAGTCTGGGTTTGGGCCAATGGCCCAAACAGTTTACCTGGTAGTCAGTAACAGGCGATCTGGCTACCCATGACATTAGTCGGAAAGCATTCCAAACTCGGGACAGACAGTGTGGTGGTCCTTCGGGGAGAAGTCCACTCTGAAACACTTCGGTGCGCTTCTACCGGGGCTGACCGGATCAGCCGATAGGGTTTATAAAAAAAAATAAAAATAATAAATAAATAAAATGTGCATTGCGCAGATTATCTATAATAACTAATCTTAACTGTCATCTAAATTTTTGAGAATTTGTGAAATGATACACTTTAATTTTTTTTTAGAGTGATAACAAGAATAATTTTTAGGTTCAATACGGGAGAACCCGCCCCATTTAACATGCCATGTTGCGAGCCCATTTTGTTAACGGGTTATGGCGAGCCGACCCGCATAAACCTGGATCTTAAATATGACAATCCTATGGATTCAGATTAATAAATATAAGGGATTAGAGTTTAGGTTGAAAAAATCACATGAAAATAGTTGGAGTTAATATTGACCGTTTTTCCCATCAACATAGGGTGATATGGTGTGGATGTGCGATAAAGTGTCTTCTCACGTAATCATGTGTTTAGTACATATTTAATAGTAAATCAATATTGATATTAGGAAATTTAAACGTGCAGAAAAGAAGAAGAATCAAACAGCTCTCAAAGTCTAATTAACTGTCTAAGTCTACTACGACTAACATTATTTTATAGTTTGAGCCCTAAATGTAAACTTAATTCAACCAATCATTAATTAATTGCTGCCTTTGTGACAGCTATACGGAGACGCAACGTTGCGATGACCCAATTCGGTTTTTCTCCATTCTTGTTTATAACATAGCAGGTAATAACAGTTTGGGCTTCAACGAGGTCCTATGTTATAATAGCATCCTCTAAAAGCCCCAACACTTTTTTAGATTTCTACATCTATTTACCACAGTGTACTGCACTAGGCAAGAAACATACAACTGATAATTTAAAATAGGTTAAGCGAGGATTCGGTTGAAGAATGAACCAAGTAGAGCCTATCTATAAAAAGAATTGGGTCGGGAGAAGATACTGTCAAATGATGCAATTGCCTATGAAAGATTTTCTTAACATAATAGATATAAAGACAAAATTCCAAACGGATGCATTGCCTCAGGAAAATGGTCTTAATTTAAATTACACTCGACACACACAAAATGCCGAGATAAAACAAAATCATATGAGAATGTTATCAGAGAGAAGTGGAGACTTGGCTGTCACGCCATGATTTAAGGCGATTGGCGTGATCAGCATTGCAGTAGAGAAAGCTCTTTTTACGAGCTGATGTGGAAGTTAGCACAATGGAAAATCCAAAGTATTCTTCCTCACATTTTTTTTTGCTGATATTAGCCGCGAACTTGAACATCTCGTTCTTCTGGTTAAACGGTTGGTCTATATATTCTTGGATCGGCATGCACTATAAAATGAAATACCAGAATTTTAGATAGAGTTAAGTATTGATAGTAACTTAACGATTTCTTGGCTCATCAACAATGAAAATGGTTATACCTTAGCGTCCAAGATCTCAGATTTTTGTTTAGTGATTTCATAGGAGCGCGGAGTTAAGACACACAAGAAAAACATATCCGATTTCTTTTTCAAGAATGCTTTATGGATTTTCCTGCAAGTAAAAGGTAAATCAATCAGGATCTAATGAGGTAAGCCGGACCAAATGTTTTCTAATCAATGAAAACTAATTTACCTGAACGACAAAACTTCAACAAAATCAGCAATAATCTAAAGTAAAAAGAAAGAAAACATTGATTTTAGATTAGAATGGCAAGTAAAAGATCCTTAGATGAATATTTTATTTTTCTGATAGACAATTACATACACTAGTTTCTTCTTCCACTTCCCGAACTGATCCATTGCAGATATCCTCACTCTGTGGATTTTTTGAGAAGTTTTAGCTAAAGGCAGAAAACAATGACATTTTATTTCAAACTTGATATCATCAATATCATCTTTCTAGGAACCAATGTTTGACTCTAAATATTTGTACACCAAGCTAACAAGCTAAGTCGTGAAAAGAATGTTATGGCGTAATAAAGGAATGTTTACAGAATGCTAACAAAAATTTTGACAAAATATTATACCATACACGAATTTTGACTAACTTTATGACGTTTTGTTATTGTACAATAGACGTTTTTTTTTTTTTACTGTTGTGATTTGTGAATATATAGTTATGAAGAGTAGGATACATGCAACTAAGAAATTCCACTGGAGACATACAACTAAGAAACTCTACTTAATGTCAATCTTTGGAGTTACTTTAGAGATATTCAAAACAAGAGAGTAGATAAATCCAAATTTTTTTTTTTTTTTTTTTTTTGATAAATCCAAAATTTGTTATGTATAGCAAGAGAATTTGCACTACATTTTGTTTTCGTTGCAAAAAACATTCTCTTTGACTAACTCAAAAAGAGTTTGATACTTAGAGCATCATTAACGGTAGCCTCTTAGTGTAAATCTTAGGAAAAAAACAATTAAAATTTAATCATTAATCAAGTAAATCCATAAGAAACGTTGAAACGTTCCTTAGTTAAGAGGTTTTTTCTTCTCTTAAGAGACGACACGTGTCGCGTTTTGAACAAAAAGAAAGAAAAAAAAATGTCTCGTGTTTTTCCTCTCTCTCTTTCTCAAAAGCAAAGACAGATTCTTCTTCTCGATCTCTCCGACATTACTCGATCCGTCGAATTGAGACGAGAAATGAGTCGGAAGTTCTTCTTTGACGTCGTTATCATCATCTCCTCCGACGCCGGGCACCATCGGCGATTTCGGTTCATCAAATCAGAACCACTTTGGTTCACCAAATCGGAGATTCAAGTGGCCAAATCGGAGAGTTTGGTTCCGATTTTCTCCAATCTCGTTCTCCATGGTAAGAATCTCTCTGATTTCATTCACAAATCGTGATGAATTAGGGTTTTGTGTTAGCAAAATTAGGGTTCAACGATTTGGGAATTGATGTTAGAAAATTAGGATTCCATGATTTGGGAATTGATGTTAGCTAAATTAGGGTTCTCTGATGTTAGCAGTTTGTGCATTACATTGTAAGTAGAAATATGTTGAATCAAAAAATTCAATAAAATCATTTCTTTTGAGTTCAATAAAATCATTTCTTTGCACTCAATCATCACCTCTGTATCAGGTCCCTCACTTACTCTCTTCTCTCTATGTTTGAGTTTTGATTATAGGATTGGGCTCTGTTAATGGGGAATTTCATCGTAGGTGTGCACATTGGTCGTTGGTATTGGTCAATTTCATTTGGTGTTGTGTGTTTTAACGCTTGCGTTTGTTCATTTCTTAATGTAGTCTTAATTCCGATGGTATTAGTCTTATGATTGCTTAATGACTCAACTGTTCTTTCTTAATGATACAGCTGTTCATTGAATTTTCTTTGAGTTAATGGCTTACAAGGATGAAGCTCCTAAGCCTCAATTGAGTATGGAAGAGGCTGGAAGAAGAGCAAGGAGCGAGCTTTCGCGTGGTGAAGCTGAAGGAAGTGGTGTGAGAGGAAGAGGAGGGAGAGGGAGAGGAATAGGAGCAATTAGTTTTGTAATCATATGGAAAATTAGCTAAATTAGTCTCAATTAATGAATTGGATACTGAATCTTGTATCATATTCAAGATTTGTTTGATCTAGCTGTTATAAGTGACGATCTTTTATGAGATATAGCTTTAGGAGATTTCATTATAATTGAAAAATAAACACACTTATTAATAAAATGTATATCAATTGCAACTCTTCTTCTTTATACTCCAAGTGATTTACCAAAGACTCTTGTTCTTTATACCACAAAACAATCTTTTCTACTTTTCTAAACTCTTGTTCTTTTTACCACAAAACAATCTTTTCTAAACTCTTGTTCTTTATCAAAATCTCGTCGATATGATGGTCCACTAGAAATCGACTTCGTGATCGAGCCATGCATCAACAATTGAATAAGGATTTGGTCGAGCTTATATGGACAAAATATTCCAGAAATTAAGTTTAAAACATTTGTGCTTTATGTTATTTATGTTATAAATTGTATCTCATGTATGTTTTAATTTTTTTAATTTGCAACAATTATTAAATTTTCTATAATTATAAATTTTATTTTTATATTAATATTTATTTTTCTAAGAACCACATGTTAAGAGCCTACCATTAATCACACAAAAATCTTAACTCAAAAGTACTATCTCTTAACAATCACTTTTACAAATAAATTACTTAAATATTGCTAAGATTAATTTCTAAGAAACCACCTATAATCATGCTCTTATGCATTAAGATTAAAGAGAGAATCAAGGAGATTAAAGACGAGAAGAATACAGTAAAGATTGATTATGTTGTGAAGCAACTTAAGTTTTAAGTGAAGGGGAATATTTCCTAGAGTACTGTTGCATCCAAAAATACTGATAGTTGGGTTGTAGTGGAGGCAAAAAATGAATGCTATAGAGTTTAATACATATTTTCCATTAATATTTGATTATTTTCTCACATTTCTGTACTGGTAGATTTGTTTTTTAAACTATTAAAACTCTTTGTCATGTATATCATACATTTCTCAAATAAATTCTTCACCTATTGATGTCTTTATTTTTTTTGTTATGTCACTTTGCCACGTTCAAAAATAAAGGTAGATTCACACGAGAAGTACTATAATGATGCTTCAGTTATATCATTTTATGTGGTTATTATGTTCCATAATAACTACATAATTAAAGACTCAATTTAAGTGATTAAAGTGAAAAGTTAAGACTCATATTGCTTAGTAAGATTAAATTTAAATTTAATTCATTTTCTATTTATATCTTACAATATAATTGAATATTTAAGTTTTAGTAAACTTTTGAATAACTAAATTTGAATTATATATTTTTATGTTTGTCATTATATAATATAAAGAAAACCCTCTAAACTTTATATATATGAGTTGTTAATCATCCCATTCATCTCCTATGTGTTTGTGTATTTTGTTTCTAGCTTACGAAGTATATTTAATTTATTTGTTTAAGAACATTTATACAAGTAATATGCATGGACGGTTATCTAGTATATATATTACTTAGATCTCGAGATCTAAAACATAAATCATTTTATTTTATTGTACACACCAAGAGATCGATCTAAGAAAGCCTTGTGAACGAGAAGCAGCCTTTGACGACTACGACAAACTTTAGCGGACTGTTGGAACTATACGTGTGGACTTAAAACTGACTCGGCTCTGGAGCACCCAGCGGAGGCCAAGGCTTGAAGAAGCCTGGAGGAGGTGGGGTTACGTAAGGTGGAAGATCGAACTCTGGAGTTGGTGGGCCTGGTGGTCGTGGTCGCTTGACTTGGACTGGTTTTGGAGTAAACGGAAAGGGCGTGTGGAGGAAGCCTTCCGGTGAAGGCTTGGAGGTGGAGACTTTCGGTGAAAGCTTGGATAAGAATTTTCCGAAGGACTTCAAGATATTGAGGCGTCGATGTGGATTTACTTTCCGAGGAACGGAAGCGTAAGAGACTGCAAAGAAGCCGACTAGTAGAAAGATGAGTACGAAGGAGAGGTTTTGTTTTTTCTCAAGTCCCATCTCTAGATAGGATCTTAAGAAACGTGAATTGGTTTCAGAATAAGAAAGTTTGTAGTGAATTCTAAAAGCTTGTTTTATTGCTCCGATGAATAGAACTTGTTCCCGTGAGCTTCATATATATAGATTAGTTCTTAATCTAATTGTAGAATTTTCTAAGAAACTAAACAAGGAAAAAACTAAGTAATTTCCTTTTATCAAATACGTAAACGAGATTGATCTTTCTATTTCTTTGATCAAGACTTTTCTCATTCCCGTGCTTTGCAAATGCTTCGATAAGACATTTATACACGGAATTGTGACTATGATTTGGTTCGACATTTTCCACGAAATGCTAGAAACTTTCGTTATTCACATAAAATTACAAATTTTGAAACGGAACGACTAATGCTCTCTTCTTTCGGTGTAAGTGCTGAACCTTGTGGTACAAGACACCCTCGGAATTGAGAATGGAGTGGAAGTATATATCCAAGACGTTTCAAAAAGAAACAATTTATCGGAATTTACTATCACATAACTGTAATGTTAAGTTCTATGGACTTCCAACTCAAAATCAATTAGCAATGAGTGGAGTGGCCCATATCCCTTATATATTACTTAGGATCCCTTCCAACTTCCTATGTGGGACATTATGTCCTAATACGCCCCCTCGAGATGATGGCTCTTTGGCCATTAATCTCGGAATGTTCGGACTTAGATCGACGGCATCAATTTTGGGCCTTGTCGATGATTGGACCATCTTTGGGTCGGATCGGGTTGGACATGTGTGGATCGGGCTCTGATACCATGTTAAGTTCTATGGACTTCCAACTCAAAACCAATTAGCAATGAGTGGAGTGGCCCATATCCCTTATATATTACTTAGGATCCCTTCCAACTTCCGATGTGGGACATTATGTCCTAATATGTAAATGATGTACTAAATTTAATTTTAGATATATCGGAATTTTAATAAACAAATTCAATTGTTTTTTAATTTTTATTTTGAATATATGATAGACTCTAGAACATCTATCTTTTAAGGTTTCAATTTCTACTACGCAAGTTGAGGATATAGAGACAGCCTTGAATGCAAATTTATCGCCAAATAAGGAACTAAGGACTGCTAAGGAATATCTGACATATATAATAGCGTAGGGGCCACGGGTAGTATTTTGGATGAGTTTGGTGGTAGGTTCGGCTTTGAAGAAGGATATAGGAAAAAAATTAAATCGTAGCGAATAAGAAGAAGTGAAATGTGTACGAAAAAGATGCGTTAAAGTAGCAAAAAATAAGTGGCAAAGTAGTCACAAACTTTTGCTACTACTCGAGTTTTGATCACAAAATAGATGTGGCAATTTAATCGCAACCAATTTGGGACGCGTCTTATGACTCTCTGTTTAGCCTCAAATTGTAAAAGAATTTTGGTGGCAAATGAATCACAAAATTCCTTCAAGGCCATCTTGATGAGAGATTTACGTAGTTCAGTCTTTGGATTTTGTTGACGCCACTGATTCGTCTTACGGCTGCAAATTGCGACAAAGATTTTTATGGTTTAAAGCAAGTTATGCATGCATGGTATTTGGAGCTTTGTTGTCAAAGCTGGATATGTTAATTCTCTTGAGGATGTGACACTGTTTGTTCTACAAATGATCTATGTGGTTTATTTACTCGTCATTGGTAATAATGCCAAACAAGTTCAGCAGTTCATACATGTTGAACAAGCGATTATCACTTAAAAGTCAATTATTGCTTTAAAAGTTAAATATATCTAGTCAACGATTCAACGTACACAAGACTCTTACATAAATATATTTTCAAAGCAAAGTAAAGTATATAATAAATCATTTTATTTTATTGTGACACACAAAGAGATATCGATCTAAGAAAGCTTTGAGAAAGAAAATTATAAGTCTACGACAGAGGTTTAGGGGACTGTTGGAAGTGTGGGTGGGGACTTGATAATGACCTGCTTTGGAGTATCTGGTGGAGGCTTGACGGTGATCGGTGTTGGAGTATCCGGCCGAGGCCGAGGCTTGAAGAAGCCTGGAGGAGAGGAGGTGGGGCTACGTCATCGAACTCTGGAGTTGGTGGTCGTGGACTTGTGGACTTGGTGTTTACTTGTTGTTATGTTTCTTCTGAGATACACAATGGAAAGAGAACAAAAGAGAATAACAGAGAACTGACCTTTTATTGAATCACAAACTTGTGTGTTTACAACAGATAGACAACGTCTTTATATAGTTACAAACAGATACATCGAAACAATACTAAGACTAAGAGTTGTAACTCTTAACACGACAACTTTTGGACAATACATAACTGTTAATGTATAAACTTAACAAACTTAAAAACATTATGATAAACTCAATTATCGATCAACATCCCCCCCTTAATTGAGTTTCTCTCTTACTCCAAGCTTCTTCCTTAGTTCTTCAAATCTTGTGACGCCAAGTGCTTTCGTGAGTAGATCAGCTGCAAGTTGAACTTCCCCTTGGGCCTTGGCAGTACTTGAGTTGAATAAGTCCCTTGTGTTCCGCATCTCGAACAAAATGATACTTGATCTCAATGTGCTTTGTGTTGCACATGATTTTTCCCTATCGCGATCACTGACTTGTTGTCGTAGTAGATAGGAACACCATCTTGAGACTCGAAACCAATTTCCCTCAACAGCCTTTGTAACCAAATAGCTTGTTTGTACCGAGGTTGTAACAACAAATAACTATAAGATTTTCGGGGAGAACGAAGTGACTTCTTTATTAACGACGAACGAGATCGGTTAGTTACAGGGAGCAAATGACGAACGTATACGTAATGAACTACGAACAACGAACGAACGCATACGCAAAGAACTACGAACAACGAACGAACGTATACGCAAAGAACTACAAACGAACGTATACGCTATGAATAATTCTCTGATTATCTGGGTATTGACTTGTGTGTGGTGCTGTTACAAATAGTGCCTTATTTATAGGACAAGAACTGTGACCTAAGGTCTCTTCTGTTCCCTCAGCAAATTACCATTTTACCCTCCAAGCTTGGTGGGCTGAATTGGAGAGACAACAGGCCCAATAAATAATTGGGTCTCTGTTTGGGCCAAATGGCATTTAGTGGGTGAAGCCCATATCCAACATAGCTTGATTTGCCGCTGCATACACTGCGATATACTCCGCCTCCACAGTAGATTGAGCCACTGTTTGCTGCTTACTTGATTGCCAACAAAACACAGCAGATCCAAGAGTAAAAACGTACCCAGACGTGCTCTTTTTGTCTTCGTTTGAGCCTCCCCAATCGCTGTCCGAGTATCCGTATAACTCTGGGTTTTCGACACTTGTAAACTGAACTCCAAAGTGAGATGTGACTTTGACATACCTTAGAACTCTCTTGGCTTCTTGGTAGTGCTTCATGAGTGGCACAGACATGTACCGTGAGAGATAAGAGCTTGCAAACATCAATTTCTCTGATATGTATAGTGCTTTGAATGTGTTTTTAATTTTATTACCCATCCTAACAAATTAGCTACGTCCATTCATTTCGTAAAGCCTCATTTTTCCCTCCATGTCAAATTGTTTTTAGATTTGTACATAATAAGTGATGTTTTAGTTTATAATTTGTTTTTTTTTTTAAATGATTTCTTAGTTTATGCGTAAGAATTTCTAGGAACCCTTTCAAAATTTCTACAAGTATGTGATACTTTTGAAATCTTTTTTTTTTTGGTAAGGACTTTTGAAATCTTTTGAATTTAATGTTAATTGATTTTAAAATTAAAACCTTTACCGTATATCAAATTAAAACGGTAAGACTTGAATAATATTAAAATGTTAAGATTCGGCCGTGCGGCACTGTACAATGTAATGTGTAATCCTGCGCCGATCGCAATCTTAAGTCTTCTTCCAACGGTAACTTTTCGGACATGAAGTAGATTATTTATCCAATTATTACATGACACGTGTACTAAATCCTACCCCAACGGTCGTCTTTCTTCTTCATATCCTTTGACCCAAAATATAAGAGACAGAACACAAAACTCAGAAAAAGCAACAAGAAGAAAAAAGATCTGAAACGAACAAAATGGTAAATCAAAGAAATCTACAAGAAGAAGAAGAAGAAGAAAAGGAGAATTATCCTCTTATTACAACCAAAGTAGTTGAGTATTTGCAGCCAGTAATGTGTCGTGAGCTTCTCTGCAAATTTCCAGATAACTCTGCTTTCGGATTCGACTACACACAGAGCTCTCTTTGGTCTCCTCTCTTGCCTCGAAATTACCCTAGTCCTTCAGATCTAGACTCCGACAGTTGCGTTTGTCGGAATCTTAAACTCGGAGAGTTTCAAGTAGGCAAGAAGAAGATGAAGATGTCAATGAAGAAGAAGAACAAGAAGAAGAGTAAATTACTGAAATTAGACATGACTTCGATGAAGAATGATGATGATTCTCCTAAAATTGGCTGCTTTCCTATTCCTACCAAGGTATGTTACATAGATAATGTTCTCTGTTTTTATCATATAGTTTTTTTTTTGTTAATGTTTATAACAGATGTGATTATTATTGTTTAGGGATGGAATGGTGTGTTAAAGGCAGCTTCAAAACATTTCAAGAAATCGAGAAAGAAGAGAGATTCAGTCGCTGATGCTAAGCTACTCGACTTCAAATGCTAAGATTATATCCACTTTAATTTTAGTCTAATTTGTTTGTTCTATCTTTTTAAGTATTCAACATTACTATACCGTTGATGAGTTGATTCAATTTGTGGTCTGTGTTCTATATATGGTCTCTATGTAATCATTTGGAGTGTTTGATCATAGATATCAACTTGTGATGCATTTGAGTCTTAGAAACAAGTAGCGACTAGCGATTGTGAAGCAGAGTTTGATATACAGTTGAATAAACAAGCCTGATGCGATTACAGTTGAATAAACAAGCCTAATGCCATTACTGGTGGAATCTAGTAGACTTTGGTTCTGTATCTGGAAATACTTTGAATCATGAGCCAAAATCTCTCATTTCTTTACTGATTCAATCCCTTTGTTGCTCATATTTAAGCAATCTTCATGGTCATGTTGCGTTTCCTCTCCTTCTGACATTTGTTCATCGTCATTGTGTTCGGAAATTGTTAGTCCATTTTGAAGCAAGCGCCGGTTCTCTTCTGATTCTTGCCTCATTAGCCGTTGCTGGATCCCATCTCTAATGGCTGTTCCCTGAGAAAACCTCACTCAACCAGACATTAGTGACTGAGATATTCATGCTTGGAATCACAAATGTTGAGAATCATTCCCTTTTCTTATGCTGCTTACCATTTTATGACAACCTTCCTCAAACATTTCAAGAAATCCAGCCACCCAACGATCAGCGTTTTCAAGCCACTCATCATGGTGCATCCCAGCGGTTTTTGCTACGGTTTGGATCTGCAAAAGGGAAAAAGATTCAGGATTCAGAATTTCCACAATGGGCGATTCTAACACCATTCTTAGCCAAACATTCTGCACTTGTTCTGTGTATAAACTAATACAAGCCGTGCATCAAAGGATATACATGAAGCAGCATCATTAACGCATAAGATCAGATTCCTCGCTGCTCACCTTTTCTTGTTGTTCTTTCACTTTCTCTTGTAGTTTCTTCAATCTCATGTTCACTCTAAGCCTCTTCTCCTGTTTGTATAGTAAATAAGCCCATAACATATTAGTTGGATACACCATTATCATCACATCAATCAGATATTGGTTATCGACAAGAAAAGAATGAAGAGCATACCTTAACGAAACTAACACCGAGCTCTTCTCTTGAATATCCTCGATCCAGATTACGCAACACATACTGGTTATAATCTTTCACTATTCTCATGATGATATCCGATGTCGATATCCCCTCTGTTCGTTTAGTTTCTTTAAACTTCCCAATCGACTTTACCTGCACAAAATCAACTCCAAACATTTACGAATCAGAAGAGATAACAAAGTCAGTACCAAAAGAACAAGAACATCTCTATATTGATACTTACAAACTCATAAACATCGTTTCCAGCTCCAGTCGCATCCGCATAGCTATCAAACAAATACAAACCACAGATCATTAACCTATTCAAATTGCTAATTCTCTAATGGAAATAACCGAATCTTACGGAAGAGCATCGTGAGCTACGTAATCTATCTTATGCTTATCAAGAAACTCTGTTGTAAGAACCCATGGAGCATCTGGAATCACTTCATCAACCCACCTATTAACATAACACCATTATAACCAAGTGTCAATAGCTTAAAGGTCGTCGGTTCGAGTGGCGCCTGGCAGGAGACCATACAAAAAAAAAAAACGAAAGAAACTATAATAGCAATTAAACATTACTTGCAATGTCGGAGAGATTCGTATCGTTCAGATTCCGTCATCACAGTCTTCCCCTTGAATTTGTTGGTAATTTCATCATTGCAGCATCCAACAAGTAGATACGTATTCGGAAACCTAATTTTCCAAAAATTGAATCACAAATCACAAATTCACAACCCTAATTTCTCAATTCCGGCGAAATCGAAGAAAAAACACAAAAGGAAATTGGTAGAGACGATTTCTTGGCTTGTTCGATGGCACGAGCGTGACCGAAATGGAACAAATCGTAGATCCCATCGGCGTAGACTCTAACAGGTCGATCTGAAGATGAACTCTCTCCTCCTCCTGAGACCTTGTTCTCACCATTAACGCTCATTTCTTCTTCCTCTTTGAGAATTTTTGGGTTTGGTTTTTGGTTGTTAAATGTTGTTATCTTTAAGTTTCTATGGCTTTCCCTCCAATCGCGCGGTTTTCTAAATTGGCTTTTTTCTCAGTTTTTTTCAATTTTTGCAACCTAAAATAAATTCACATTTAAAGCCAAAAAGTGATAGACGACAATTTTGTAAAATAGTATAGAATTGAGAGATGGTGAGTGCATAGGTCGGCAATGTTTGAACACTGATATTAGTTGGTATTTATTTTTAATATATAGTTTTTTTTTGTCAGCCACATATGATATATTAATGGTTTTGGTAAACATATTAATCAAAAATCATAATGATTTGAAAGAAGTCACGGGTATAAAGAATATTTGAGCCGAATAGGATACTAGTGCTCTTCGATTGCATGGGGACATGTTGGTCCGGGTACAGGTAACACGTACAGGTGGTTGTTGTATATTTTGTGCGTCAAATTGTGCGCTAAATCTATTGATTTATATAATAAAAGAGTGTAATAAGTGTAAAGAGTATAAAGTAAAAATGACACAGAAATTTGTTAACAGATTTGGTTAATAATCTATATTTTTGGGATCAAGTCTAGAAATCATTCTCTAGAAGATGCTGCAACTTACAATTGCTATATGGCATTTATCACTCTTTTCTAAAATTACAATGAAAGAAAACTACCAGTAATTGTCTTTTCTGACTAGTGTAGATTTTCTACAAAACAGTTATGCGTACTCCTATAATACTTGAACATGGGCACATGGCAGCAGATCAATGTCTTCTCCGGCGACTATAGTTTCCTCAGAGAGATACTACCAACAGAGATATCACCAACATATATATCTTCAATTTTGTTTGGTAGGGAGACGTCACACACACATCTGTGACTCTCTCAATAAACCTTAGACACATAATCTTTTTTGTTCATGGCTACGTTTTATTTATATGTTTTTCAAGAGCAAGAAACATAAGCTCCTCAAGCTTGAGCTTCTATCTAAAACAAGGCCCACATAGCTTCTCCAATGATCTCAAACCCATGCCACAACAGACAGTTACGTCAAACACACACTCGCATATATTGTAGTCTATATATGTCAACTCTTGTATCACACAATACAATTCTTTTGTTGTAGCGCAATCTATATCATCTCATCTCTTAATATGTATCATCAGTTATTTTATAACTGATGTTTTAAGCTTCTAATTTTGTTAATAAATAAATGATATTTTCAATTTTCAATACAAAATTAATTATTTTTTTATTGGTTTTGACGATTTATATTCTATAAGATTGTTTTTTATTGGTTGATTAGGTAATAAATGATGTTTTAGTTTAGATATAAACAAAAATTAAATGATTTCTTAATTTATGTGCATTCTTCTAAAACATCACTTAGAAAAAAACTGATGAAGTATAATATAAATAGAGCACAATGTTTCACTTTAAATAGAGCCTCCAATAGCCCTACACCTTATCTGTCATTCCATGATGTCATATCATATATGACGATCTAACTTGGACTATGTATAATGGGTTTGGACTTCCCTTATTACTACATTTTAGGAGATATTCGTTTATGCTTCCCAACGTTTTTGCCAGTATGTACTATCTAACTGTTTCTATACAGGGGCAATCGTTCTATTGTTAAAAAAAATTCTATCTCTTGAAATTTTTTCACTTTTAGATATGAACTTTAGGTTCTTTAGATCTTCAGTGTAGGTTTTGGATTTGCAAAGAAGAAGTTATAGTAATTGAGACACCCTCTCCGACAACGGTGGTGTAGTTATTCTCTCCCATTTGATGTAGGTTTGGCTCCATCTTGGCAGAAGAAAAGTTTCGTGGTCAAGTCCAGTCAAAATCGAGGACATCTGTGGATTCGCATCAGAGAATTCTCACGGGTTAACTGTCACTTTAGCTATTACAGCTGCGGCGAAAGTCATTGGGAATAAGTGGATTTTGTTGAGTGTCTCGGTGATTAAATGTAGATCCCTAGGGTTCTTAGATGGCGGTTGTGGATTCTAGATTCTCGGTGCTTGATTGAACTATCAGCCTCTGAAACTATTACGATTTAACTTCCACCGGATCAGACTGAGGTGGTCTTTGCTCGAGTATATGGGGATCGCCAGATCTCGAGGGAGGGGTGTTAGATTTGAGATTGTCGTATTGCTAGATCAGGATCCGACAGCGGAGACTCGGTTTGTCGGAGATTTTTTCATTCCGGAAGTTTGTAGCGGGTTAGGCGGTTTGTCATAAAGGGATGAGAAACATAATCATAATACTTCTATAGATAGCTCCTATCCAAAGTTGATGCCTCGAAGTCGTGGATCTTGTATTCGTTGGTCTAGTGCTTCGGGTTCTATGCTTCCGGTTATCACCAGGTTCTGATCCTCTTCTCTATTGATGACGCCGAATTCCGAAAACTTTTTTTTTAACTGTTTTATATTTATAAAAATCCAAGATGTAGCTCAATTTGGAAAAACGCATTTTAATAAAAGAAAAAAGTCATTTTAATGGTAAAAATGCTTTTAGAAAAAGAAAAAAAAAAGATTGTTGATACACACAAGTCTTTGTTTTTTTTGGTTTTAATACGATGCAGTAAGTAATATTTTGCTATTTACTTATAACTTCTTTTTCCTTGCCATTTCGTAAATAAAACTCTTAGCCGTTCATGTTCTTCTAAGCTTTAAATCCGTCTTTGCCGTTTGTATTTTCTTCTTCTCTTTTTTTTTTCCCGTCTCTTACGTCAGTTCTATATATCTTCTTATACTTGAAACCCAAAAAAGTTCTGGTGGGCCAAAATGAAAACCAAGCTAGAATAAACCAATTTGAATTTCAGTTCAAAGTTCTAATTCGGTTCGGGTTCTTTCAAAACCGATTAAAGGAAGGCAAAAACCAAATTATTAACATATCCAAATGGTTCCCATCATACATAACCAAGCTCGGAAGATCTCCGGATTGCCACCATTGAAAAATCATGCGACAAAAAGTATGGAAGCGCAACAGTGATTAATAAGCAGCAAACAATTTTCACATTAACGATTCTTTTATCTCCAGAGAAAGTATAAGTTTAAATATGGGCCATTCGTCTCTAACCCTTTTTTTGTTACTCGTATTTTATGTGAGACTAAAGGGAAAAAGAAGAAGAAAAGAGAAAAGCATGCACGTGAGATTCTTCACATGTTGGTAGCCTACCTTCACCTTTCCCTAGTTTCTGAACGAAAAGCAACGGCGACGTAATATTTATTCGTCACTTCTCTTTCTTTAGAGAAAATTCTTCATTAAATTGAAAAGCCAACTAAGATTTTTCTTAAAAGTTAATCATCACATGGAAGGAAAAAGGAAAAGACAATTCATATAGACCTTTCCATGTACAAGTTAGTTTCACACACCAATGCTGGTTTAAGAAATAATCATGGATACATATAGTTTAAGAAATAATCAAGAATTTGAAGTCAATAAAATACGGGACCTTCTAATCGAATTTATGTATATATCATGACACCCATACAGTGATCTTAAGTTAAATTTTAAATTGTTTCGTTATTATAAAATACTCTATCAAATGAGTACATTTTATGCGGGATATATATAAAACTTATATGAAATTATACTAACGATTGTTTTTATCCATAAAAGTATGAATGCTCATAACAAGTCGATGTCCTTTATCCCAGAGGATAGTTTGAACAAGAGGTTCGAATACAAGTAAACTATGAACATCACAATGTATAATTTTGTAGTCGAAAAATTATGAATAACTTTATCCCATATCATGTGATCACGTTTGAGTACATTTGTTCCCAAAGCCACTTAAGAATTTATTCTTTCTAAATGAGCTCTTAACCTTCGAATTGACGATCTCTCATTTTGGTAAATGCTATTTAAGTTTATTCAATTTATGCGTCCACAAAGTCCTCAAAATATGAAAAATAAATAAACACAACTAAAGAAAATTACAATAGTCAAAGTTTTCATTCTGCTACAAACAAAGTCAGTATACCTAACATTTCTTCCTTTATGTTTTTTTTTCCTCGAAATAGGTAAAAATTAGAAAAAAAAAACATTTCTAAAGAATAATTCACCGTTTCCTCATTGCAACCATGAAGCAATATTGCTATTTGTCTCCGAAGACGGAGCATAACCTCCTCCTTCTCCACCGTCTTTACTCTCATCCGCCGCTACAAAACCATTGGAAACCACCGTGTTAGGATAGCCAAGAGTACTCACGTGGTTTGACGACGAGACCAAGTAGGGTCTATCTTGTTGCGGCAGCTCGTGATGATGAGACGTTTGGTTCTGCAAACTAGCGTATTGCCAAGGAGCTTGATAGCCTGAGGAAGAAGCTCCGGCAGTGGGGTCGGACGAGGTGAGACTAAAACCAGACGACGACGAAGACCCGAAAGCCACAGCAGATGGACCGCCAGTGAATTGTTGCACCATGGCTCTGAAGTTGGCTGTGTCGGTGTTGAAAAGTGTAGTAGGTGTACGACGGGAGGCTCTAGACCTCCGACGTGTTGGCTTTGTAACACGGCGACTTTCCGGATTCAGAGGAGAATCAGCTGACGTGGCGGTGGTGGTGGTTGTGACGGTGGAGGTTGTGGTGGTGAAGAAGGTTTGGTTGTTGTAGAACTGAGACCAGTCGTTGTTAGGGTTGGCCATCTTCTTATTATGCGATATATATCAAAGAGGAGCCCCTTGTTCAGTATTTATGGACTTTCTCATCTTAATAACTTTTATTTTCTTAAAACTTGTTGATTGGTTCGACTTGGTCAAAGGAAGACCATCTAACAAATCACAGCCGTTGGTTTTGGTTTGTTTTTATGACACGTGGGTTATAAAAAGGATGTCGTCGCCTAATTTTCGATGTTGTCGATTTGCATTTCTCATTTCTCACATACATGTAATTCTAGAATAAGAATTTTCTTTTAAAATAACTTTTTTTTTGTTTTTGACAAATTTAAGTAACAAAATTTAACCAAAAAAATGTATTGAAAACGAGGATTAGAGTACTAAATATTTCATTTTTATCGTTATAATGTCATTATTTACAATTTTATCTTATATAAAATAATGAGGTGTGTTCTTAATTGTACATGACTACATTCATATCCAAACACAGCCATTCATTTAGCTAATGTACATATCCCTTCACATAATACATTTCAATGTAAATCAATAGAAGATCAAACTATTTTTATAAATTTTAGATAATATCTTTAATTGATTTAAAAGTTTTTTAAAATATATTTCTTGTTATTATTGTTGAGGGAAAAAATTTGTTTTGTACTAGACCGCTAATCTCATGCGAGTAATTAACAAACACGTATATATAAAACCTTGGAACACTTCTGTAATATTATCTGAATACTCTTTATGCTAAAACGAGTATTGAAATTAAATCACAAAATTTGATTAAAAATCGGAAAGAATCAGAAAACTTGAGAAAGAAAACGGATCCGAATTACGATAGGTCAAGAGAAATTAATCATTTTTGAGCTATTTCCAGTGAGTAAGATTGAAAAGTTTGGGAATTTTTTCATTTATAAATGAGATATTTTTTTAATAAAAAAGAATGTAATATATATCTGGTCTAAAATCTCTTTTCCTAATTGAGGAAGGGTTATGTTTTATAGACCGTAGATAGTATGTATAATTATACTTGATCAAGATTTTTGGTCGGAAAGGTCCAAGACAGTTGAGTATTACCACCTATCTTTGTTGTCGTTAGTGATAATTGATCAACAAGCGATATTTGATCTTGTTTCGAGGAAATCCACAATACTCATCAACATATTTCATGTTATCTTGCAAGATAACATTACCTCACCTACTGTTTATGGGCTATATGTTAATTATGGATATATCATGTGGATAAAAACAAGATACATGTGCTTAGATTGCCTAAGTGCTTGAACCCAACCTATTAACACTACACACATTTCATGCTACCTACAAACAAAGAAACAACGATAATATATTGCATGTGGTCTCCTCATGGTAGTTGGATCTGAAACAAGGCGTAAACTTGTTTTTGTCTAAGTACTCCATTTAAAACATGTTACATGTGTATATAGAAAGCAAAAATTGTGACCGTTTGTGTTGCGATATTTTTACAAAGCAAATTTAACCAGGTTCATCTAATCGCATGTCAAACTTAAACGGAAAATCCGGTGGACCAAGGGTTTTTTTATCGGACTGGCTCATACCTAAAATTAATCGGAGAAGTTAAGTTGAATGATGTGACTGAACCATATTCTAGTCCGGATCATCCAAACAAAAAGAAAAAATACTGACAAGAAAAAGTAGCAAAGTTTTGTTGTCTTTCCTTATTTTTGCACTATCCACCTCATCTTCTCAGTTTCTTAAAAGTATTTTGTCAATAAATTTGCATTAATTGAAAGGCTCGCTAAGCCAAATCGGAAGAACAATGTTTACATATATGATATAGTGCGGGTAGGCACGGACATTCCGTGCTAATAAACCCGTTTAGAAATTATTGTTACGAAGAACAAGAGAAATAGCAAAAGACGTGAAAATTTCTTTATTTTTCTCTATTTCTTCTAAATAAATCTTAAAAGCCGGTCATCAAAATTGGCGTAGACACCATTTTCTGTAGATAGGAATAGTTTGTAACGACTATAACATTAGCTTTCTCATCACCCACACTATCGCTTCCACTTTAGAATATAGTGGAAAAAGACTTCACCAAAAGTTACATGCTCTCATAAGTGGTGACTCGTTACTTGCTTATTGGAGATATATGGACCGGTTTACAGTTGGTTATTTCCGGTTATTGATCTTGGTTTAATCTTATGTATATAAGCTTAATGACGTTGTTATTAGAGAGGTTAAGTTGTTGTAAACAGAGTTTTGATGTTGAATAAAGTTTGTTACAGCTTCTTCTTTCTCTCTCTTTTCCGATGATAAACTTCCGATGTATCGGAGTTTATTATGGTATCAGAGCTTAAATCTGAAGTTTCCGCATTCATCTTCTTCATCGGAGAAGAGATTTTCTCGGTTTGATTTCTTTTGAATCTTTTGATTTCTTCATCATCGCTTTCTGCGATTTTCTTTTGTTTTTCACAGTTCACCGGAATCTATTTCTCCGTTCTGTTTCTTTGATTTCTTTCGCTTGACCTCTAGTGTTGACGAATCTTTGTTTCTTTATCCAAATTCGTCTCACTTTCTTTGTAATTCCTTGTTCTTAAACTGAGAATGGGAACTTATGTACCTCCATCTACGATTCCGGTGGTTCGTCCTCCGATTAACGCTGGTGAACAGTCTTGTTATCCAGTTAATCAATACGAGAATCCATATTATCTACATAGTACGGATCATGCTGGACTTATTCTTGTTTCGGATCGTTTGACGACTGCTTCTGATTTTCATTCTTGGCGTCGCTCGATCTTAATGGCTTTGAATATCAGAAACAAATTGGGCTTCATTAATGGTACGATTTCAAAACCACCTGAAGATCATCGTGATTTTGGTGCTTGGTCTAGGTGCAATGACATTGTTAGTACTTGGTTGATGAATTCTGTTGACAAGAAAATTGGTCAGAGTCTACTATTCATTTCCACAGCTCAAGGTATATGGAACAATTTGTTGATGCGTTTTAAGCAAGATGATGCACCACGCATTTTTGATATAGAGCAGAAACTTAGTAAGATAGAGCAGGGATCTATGGATGTCTCCACATATTATACTACTCTACTTACTCTTTGGGAAGAACATAGGAATTATGTAGAACTTCCAGTATGTACTTGTGGTCATTGTGAATGTGATGCAGCTGCTAAATGGGAAAGTTTGCAACAGAGAAGCCGAGTTACAAAGTTCCTTATGGGACTGAATGAAAGTTTTGATCAGACTAGACGTCACATCTTGATGCTTAAGCCTATTCCCACAATTGAGGAGGCTTTTAACATTGTTACTCAAGATGAACGCCAAAAGACTGTGAAACCAACTACTCGTGTTGATAATGTGGCTTTTCAGAGTGTTGCACCCATGATGAATGATGTTGATAATGCTTATGTTGCAGCTTACAACACTGTTAGACCATCTCAGAAACCAGTGTGTTCTCACTGTGGGAAAGTGGGACATACTATTCAGAAATGTTACAAAGTACATGGTTATCCACCTGGAATGAAGATAGCTGGTCAGGGTTATCCTTACAAGACTAATCCTCAGTTAATGGTACAACCATGGGGACCAATGATACAAACACAGCCTCGGATGCAATTTCCATCTCAAATGATGCCATATGCAAACTCAATGCAGAAAGCTAATGCAGTGGCTCATGTCTATACAGAGAATGGTGCTTATCCGTCTGATGGCTATCCTTACAATACTATGATGATGAATCAGTATGGTACTCCTGGAACCAATGTATATCAGATGCCATATGTTACACAAGGTGGGAATCATTCAAATCTTCAAGATTTTTCTCCTCAGCAAATAGAACAAATGATTTCACAGTTTCAAGCTCAAGTTCAAGTTCAAGAGCCTGCAGCTTCTTCAAGTAACCCTAGTCCAAATGCTACAATCTCTGAACATGGTTTAATGGCTCACACTTCTACTTCTGGTACTATAATCCCTTTTCCTTCTACTAGCCTTAAGTATGAGAATAATAATCTCACTTTTCAAAATCATATACTATCCTCTTTAGAAAAATTCTTACCACATGATGCTTGGATTATAGATAGTGGAGTTTCTAGCCATGTTTGCTCAGATTTAGCAATGTTTAGAGAACTAAAGTCTGTTTCTGGAGTCACTGTTACTTTACCTAATGGTACTAGGGTCTCCATTACTCATACAGGCACTGTGCATATTACTAAACAATTGATATTGCATAATGTTCTACATGTTCCGGATTTTAAGTTCAATCTTATTAGTGTTAGTTCTTTAGTCAAATCTTTATCTTGTTCTGCTCATTTCTATGTTTCTTGTTGTTTAATCCAGGAACTTTCTCAGGGCTTGATGATTGGGAGGGGTAAACTTTATCATAATCTTTACATTCTTGAGACTGAGAACACATCCCTCTCTACATCAACACCTGCAGCATGTTCTTTCTCTGGATCTGTTATTGATGATGGAAGTCTTTGGCATCAGCGTCTAGGCCATCCATCATCTCTTGTTCTGAAGAAACTTGTTAGTCATATTCCTTCTTTAAAGTCATTTGATTGTGATGTTTCACCATGTTCTATATGTCCTTTAGCTAAGCAGAAAAGATTAGCTTATGTGTCTCATAATAATCTTGCTGTTGAACCATTTGATCTTGTTCATCTAGATATATGGGGTCCTTTTAGTACTGAATCTATTGAAGGTTTTAGATATTTTCTTACCTTAGTTGATGATTGTACAAGAACAACTTGGGTTTACATGCTAAGAAATAAATAGGATGTTTCTACAGTTTTTCCTGCTTTCATTAAACTTGTTTCTACACAATTCAATACCAAAATAAAATCAATTCGTTCTGACAATGCTCCTGAACTTTCTTTCACTGAATTGATTAAAGAACAAGGCATGATTCACTATTTTTCTTGTGCTTATACTCTTCAACAGAACTCTGTTGTTGAGAGAAAGCATCAACATTTGCTTAATGTAGCTAGAGCTTTACTTTTTCAATCTAATATTCCTATGCAATACTGGAGTGATTGTGTTATTACTGCAGCTTTCTTGATAAATCGTTTACCTTCACCATTACT